ATCTCCATTCTCCTTTTTTCTGACACTACATGTGTGTGTGTCACTTACTACCACCTAGCACTTATTAATTCCTTATAGTTATGGTATCATTACAAACTCTAACTTGTTATTGCTTTGACTGCTGTTCACGACCTGAGAAATTTTCGAAAAGTATATTTACTAGGTGCTCATCATTAACATCAGAAACAGAGAGGGATCTCTGACAATGAGCGAACCAACCAACCAACACAGCAGGAACCGATTGTGAAACAAATCTGCAGGATGAAATGGAAGCGGATTGGATTGGCCATACTCTGAGAAAGGAAACCATCGAGTGGTTGACATCACTAGACAAGCCATTGGTCGAGTGGAACCCGGCTGAAAGGGAATCGGGTGGCGAGTTGGTCATCAGTGTAAGGGTGAGGGTGACATGGAGGAGGTCATGTGAAGAGGAGGATATGAAAGCATGTGGGCAGACGCGTGGAGCGGGTTGAAAAAGTTGGCAGAAAACAGAAGGCAATGGAGGTGGGCAGGTGAAGCCCTATGTTCCTCTAGGAATTAAAGGATATAATAATAATAATTACTACTCGCTTCGGTCAGACTCATAAGAAACTGTAAGCCAAATATATGAGTCGACTTTCAATTGTCAATCACACAATGAGATCAATCAGAGATAATACTTGATATTTTTGGCAGTGTTATTTATCCTTGCAACAGAGCTTCCCCAGTTAGCATATACATGAAGGCAAAATGGGACGTGTTGATAAAGGATCTGAGCAATATTATGACATTATTTAGTAGATTAAATAAACCTATGTTTTGTTCTCTGTAAGTGCTAAAAAACATAAAATTACCATAACTTGTAATTAGATTGTAATAAAAAAAACGGCTCAAATTACACAGTACTTCATTGTTTGCAAAAATGTGAACACATTAGTGTGGTTGGGGGTGGAAAACGGCAAGTGCTCAGTAGGTCAGTAGTCGCAGCTCCAACTTCACATTATCCTATTTCACAATATCTCCACGTCGAACAAATATATAACGGCACATCATCCCGGAGATTAAAACATGCACTCGATGCGAAACCCCACCACCCAGAAAAAACAAACCAAGTGCTGACTAAATTGCAACGCTACAAAATTATCTTCAAATAGACCATAGGTAGGATGGAAGTCAAATCTTATGCCCTAACTTCATCGACTATGAAACAACCTTCGACGGTGTTGATTGCGAAGTGGTTTCGAGACTGTTTGTTACACAACACTACGGATTGCCTAAGATCTCTCTGTTAACCTCATCGAACAGTTATATGTCAAGTGCCACATGTCAAGTGGTCCAGCAAATCCTTTACAGTGAAGATAAGAATTAGACAAGACTACCTATTATCATCTCCGATGATATTCCCGAATATATGGTAAACTGGATCATGCGGCAGACAGTGGGGAAAGAAAAGACAAGAATACATCAATCGGACTAAAAAGATGACTGTAGAAAATTTGGACTCCGCGTAACACTTCTGCTTAATGTCACACAAACTCCAAGATATCTACAACACGTGAAAACTGACAAGCTGGCACAAATGGCGGCGAAGGCACGACAACTTCAAGTGAACAGGGATGATGAAGATATCTAACCAATATCTACCAATAGGCAAAGCCATCACTATCAAAGGGACAAAATTTGAATGACGTTACTTCATCCAATTATCCGCTAGGTAGCATCGCTCCAAACTACGGATGCGCACGGGCACGGATGAGGATATCACAAAAACAATCAGAAAAGCAAACCAGACATCTACCACTCTGAAATCAGTGTAGAAATCTTCCGTAATCAGTATAATGAACAATATTCAGATTTTCAGCGCTTCTATATGGTTCTCAGAGACTTAGTGAGACCCTTATCGAAAGCATTTCGAAGGGCCTAACTGAAAACTTTCATCAACACATACCTTCGGTCTATATCGAAGATTAGATGACCAGAAAGGATAAGCAACAGGAAACTCTGGAAATGTATCAACCAGGAACCACCTATCATTTAAAAAACACGTGGAAGGAAACGGAGATGCATCGTATATATATATATAGGCTGAGGAGACTGTTGAGTAGTGACATTTCGTACTAAGCCATCGAGTGGGATGTGAATGGGACCAAGAAGAGTTTGGTGTACGAGGGTGACATGGAGGTCGTGTGATTAGAGGAGACGGAAGCTTACGGGCAAATGAGGAGACAGCTAAAGAGAAGACAGAGAGTAATAGACGTACTGCCCAAGTCGAAGTCCTATTTATATTCCAAGGGTTATAAAATAATAATAATAATAATAGGTAATATCTTACATCTTAAAAACAATCCCTTAGTACAGAATCTCTATGGAATAATGTGGACTTGATTTATACGTGTTCAACGAAATTGCATGCCTAAATAACTCTCCAAATGTGATATTATGAGCAGTCCTTACGACTCTACTAAAAGTTTTAGATATCTAGGCAAGTGAGGTAGGTATAGTCTCCTTGTATTCACATTTAAGTGAGTCCGTAATAACCAGACGAAAACATACATTTAGCCTCTGATGGCAGTGTACAATATGGTTTCATAATTATCAGATTAAGTCAACTGCAAGCAATATAAAAAACCTGATATAATTGCGCATCACGCTAATTAGTCATACTTTACACATCAGGACAATAAAAAGTTAGTGGAAATAAATATATATAGAAAAATGACAAGTACGGACAGAAATAACCCTAGTTAGACCGGAGGAAACTAAACAGTGTGTAGAACAGACACCTATTCTGCGCCGTGTTTTGTCTTAAATGTGCCTACCTACCTACCTACTAGTGTCCAATGCATCACACTACTTCATATGCAAGTAATACTTGGATCTGTTATAGTGACAGAGGTTATAGTAATCCTTTAATTTGGTTCCATGACCCAGTTGCTTAAAGTCTAAATATGTACAAAGTTCGTGTAGAAATTATTGCTATATATAATTGTCTGTCTGTTTTCGACATAGAACTTTGCACATATATGCACCAGTTCAAGTCGCCATACTCCCTCCTCCTAGTAGCACACAAATCAACACAAGAAAGTACAAGAAAAGCATAATAGAGACAGTAAACAGACGTGTGAGACAAAGGAAGAGTAATAACGAAGAACAAAACAGTTTCATTGGAAATCATAAATCACAAGGAGTGGATTCATCTGCACCAGCCATCACCGAGAACGACGATTTTGAGCCATATCACCAATTGTCTCCAACCATTGGCTTTACCGTCCCGAGGACCCTAACCAGTCAGGAAGTCTACACCTTCCCACGTGATTGGCTGGCTTAGACTAACTGTTGTAGATTTCATTGACTGGTGAGGCCATGTTTTCGTTTGACCACCGCTAGCTCTTTTCCAGCCTGACCCTATATCAGATAACATTGTTCATAGTCAAGGAAGGCGATGACTAGTCAGGGATGCGTAACACATGTCCTAACCATCTCAGTCGATGTAACTGCTTCACAGCCTCGTCGATTGATTTCCCCTCCTTACCTAGTACTCGACCGAAGCCTAACCTCAATATTGCTGAACTTATTATACCACTTCACACGGGAGATAGAACCCAGTCACCTATGATCAAAGACAGTTAGTCTTTTCATGTCTTCCACTCTCAATCGCCAAGTCTTACAGCTAGCCATAAAGAAGGACAGAGCGGATTGATGAGCAGTACACCCACCCTTTGGTCGACAACCAGCTAGCCCGATATCGCGTCTACTAAGCCAGAGACGGCGTAAACTGGCAGGCATATGCGAAACTAGCCCTCTGTATCCGTTCTGAGATTTCGTCATAGATCAACCCGTTGGAGTTGGCTGATGGTACTTCCCAAATAAGTGAAGTGGTCAACGTGCTCCACCAACCACTTCACTCCCTATTTATAATCTAGGAACCGGTTTAGTCCAGTTAGTCCTGTAACATCATCTTGCATTTGGTGGGAGCGAATCGCATGCCAAACATTCGTAGATTGCCTGTCCAAGATTGTCTGCAAGCTGTGTTAAATGGTCAAATTGTTTACGTCTCTATAATGATTACTAGATAATTCCACGGTTCTACAGTGTTCATACTTGGGCATATTATTAAGGTCTCCAAAATGCCTAGTGCTTGTTCACTGTTAAGTGGCAAAGAGTTAGTTAGTTGTACGATAGGATAGGATAACGATTAGTTCTGTCAAGTTAGTATCTATAACACTATTTCACGATTCTTAAGATATGCTTCCTTAATTATGTTTCATAAAACAAATCAAGTAACACACTACACTCTACAGCCGATATGTATATATGATATAAAAGTGACGAATACTTGTGTTTGCGTCTACCCTGTAAAACTAACTGCTTACTTGACTATATATTTCCTGCTCTACTTCTATAGTTTTATTTTGTTATCCTATAATGTATGACTCACAGTTCATGATTATATCCATTGAATTAACTAAATAAATACTACTTTCAGTGATGACTTACTACTGACTGCTCTAAGAAATGAGCTATAACAACACCACTCTGATGCGCCTCACCCTCCTTAGTCGACCTGGACAAAACCCGTCCTCCAACAGGTCATCCATATCGGCGCCGTGCTTAGCGTGGACGCCCGATCATCAACATGAGCAGCCATATATGCCAGAACTCCCGGTCCCGTCCCGCGAAATTTCGCACCCTGACCTCCACCAAGTAGCTAGATTACAGGCGTACGCCACCACGCCCAGCCATTCACGCCATGAGATACACCCATTGACTGGGTATTGGCTTTTAAGGAGAACCAAAAACACACATATCCCTGCCTCTTGCGAGACGAGAATGGCATACAGGATCATCCTGTGGCGCAACCACTTGAGAGCCCTCTCTCCCTCGGTGGACCACTCTGATAGTTTGAAGCACACATGAACAAGATAAAGTGGTCAAAACACGAGCGCAGATCAATCCAAGTTGGCTTAATAAGGCTTCCTTCGTAATGTGGGTATTAAAAACAAACAAAGAACAACACAGATAGGTGTAGTAAAAGCATACTCAATTGCTTCCAACTTTATAAAACATGTCAGTCAGACAAAGTATAACAAACACCTAGTGAATCACAATGTCCAATCCGAAATCTAATCGACACATAACCACCCCTCCCCATTGCAGACATCATATATATATAAACTAATCCATCTGAATTATAATTGAGATGTGGAAAGTCAATGTATAGTCGACAGCAATGTTTTGACTATTTCGAAATTATACAACCTTAAAATGTGGAATATACATGATAAAAATGTCTAATCATTACCCAAAAGTGGTGTAGTATGAACTTAGGGGTACAAAACTCTGAAGGCGAAGAACTAATCGAATAACGTATTATCTCTTGAGATCTGCACTATTAAAAATAAAATAAATTCAATTCAGAAATAGAGAGTGGGGATATTTGGCTACAATGAAACTAGGGCGGCCCCAAACCACAGAAATATGCCTACATTTTCTACACGGTCAGTAAAACGACGCCGTGTAACGAAGAACAAAGTAAAAACCGGCAGTGAAAACAGCCTACGAGCAAAAAAACGAGACACCCAATTACATTTATATCAAAAGTTGTGAAAATATATTATTTGAAGTGACCAGTTGGTAAAGTACAGAACACAAAGTGTATAATGTTTTTCAGTAACGATTACTTTTTATTTATTCTCTTGGTCTTTTAGCCTCTGGTTCTCCATCAGTGACTGCGGTTGTTGTGGAAGGCATAGGTGGCGGGGGAACACCTGGCGGCGGAGGCATAAAACTCGGAACAGCTATGCCAGGTGGAGGAGGAGGTGGTGGCAGACCGGGTTGAAATAATCCGGGAGGCAACGGTGGTGGTGGTGGTGGTGCGTTAGAAAGCATTACAAGCCCTGGCGGCGGTGGAGGTGGTGGTACAATTCCACTTTGTGGTGGTGGTGGCGGCGGCGGCGGTGGTGGTAACAGTATTGATGGTTTCGGCATTCCTGAAGGGACAATACCTGGAACAGGAGGCACACCACTTTGTGGACCAATCTTATCACGAGAAGCTTCCAGTTTTTGCTGAAATTCTAACAATTCCATCTTGTCTTTTGCCGTGATTGCTTCTAAATTCCTTTTGGCAACAACATCTGTGGTTGCCGCGTATCCATCCCAAATAAGTTTATCCGATTTGACTGTTTCTTGTTCGCCTAGTTTCTTTCCAATCTGAATCTCGTCAACGCCTACACCAAAAATATCTGTACGACGCTCAGCTAATTGCTTCAAGCTACTATCGATTAAATTTCCAGCAGCATAAACTTGCTCTTGTTCACGCTTCTCGCGAATCTCTCGATCACGCTGTTCAACCCACTTAGGATCAAGCAGTCCAACTCTAATATGTTTAGGCGCCTGGTTAGCCGGAATCTTTTCTCCAGTGAATGGTGATACCAACAACACAGAATCTTCTGCTCGCTTAATACTTGAAGCTTTAGGATCATAATCATGACGAATAATAACTTGATCTGAAGATAGTGGTACTACTTGTTTTGTAGCTGTTTGTGTTTGCTGGTCAGAATCCTGTTTGGGTGGTTCTGTAGTCTTGTCCTCCTCATCATCAGACAACTCCATATCGTCTTCTTCAGTTGTGTGGGCTGTTGGAGGAGTAGGAACATCATTCGTTGCTTGATTTCTTGATTCAATGTAATAAGGTGGAGGATTACGATTGGTCAGATCCCCTCCCCTGTCGTCATCTAGATGATGATCTGCATTCTCATCATCTGATTCATCTAAATCTTGATCATCATAATCATCGTCGCCTTCATCTAAATCAGTGGGCATTAATCCGAGTGAACCAGGTGGAGGAGGAGGCGCTGATGATGATTTAGATTGTGGTTGAAGGCCACGTTCTTCTGCTAGTAAACGCGCTCCAACTTCATCAGCAGTAGTCGGTAAGGGGAAATTACCTGTTTCATTCGGTTGAAAGTCGACTGTTTCTACAACTACAAAGTCATGCCAATCAATCAGAGCATACGCAACGCGTTCACGCTCTGCAGCTTCCTCTTCACGCTTACGCTGACGTTCTTGGTACTTATGCCATTCAACTCTGTATTTTATATCATCAAGAAGTTGTCTTGGCTTCCCTAATTCTTCCTCCAATTTTGTAATAATATCTTTCGGTGGTATTAAAATTTTAGTATACTGTTCAACAAGCTTTGTGAAATAACCAAACATGCTGTGCTGTGCACGTAGAAAATCAAACTGATAATTTCTTTGTTCTCTATTCATTAACTGAGTTAGAAACTGTCGACCGTTTCTTGCAACAAACTGAGATGTAAGCTTTATTATATCGATATCGATTGCATTAATAGATGGTGGATCGTAAATAAATTCAAATTCAGCCGGTGGATCCTTTGGTGTGAATGTTTCTTGAATAGACTTAGGAGTATCCTGTGTAAGACGAGCAGCACTAGGAATAGTAAGCTTGATAGCAGAAGGTTCTGGAGTCCTTCCTTCAGCGAACTCTCGAACTTTATGTTGATAGTAAGCATGGTAAGGATCAGCCGGATTGAGGAAATTAAACTTAGGATTACTTATTTCATTTTGACGAATACGAGACTCGAAATCTGGGCCATTACGCGCAACAAAGCTAGCTGTCTTGTCTACAATGTTTCTTACTTCAGGTGGGGGATAGATTATGCCAATTTTCGGTTGGATCGGTTTATCAACCTGCGATTGTTCTTCAACAGGCGGCATCTAGAATGTCAAAAGTGAAAAGGTCAAAATAATAGAGATCAGTATATGAAATAAACAAATAAACTGTTAAAAAAACAAATCAAGCAGCAAAAATTACTAAAAATGATATAACTGATATTTTGCTAATATTACTCAGCGAGGCGTTTGGAGTAAACACAGGAGTCAGACAAGGGTGCTTGCTTATTATCACCCACCAATGATATTCCTAATTGTGGTGAACTGACTGGATTATTCGTCAGACAGTCAGTGGGAAACGAGAAGAGAGGGAGGGATATCCTGGACAGAACGACGTGAAGAACCCAGAAGACCTGGATTTCGCGCGTGGATGATTTATGCTTGATGTCACACAAAATCGAAGACTTAGAGGCAAGCGGAAACTGACCGACAAACTGGTCGAAGAAGCAGGTAGTGAAGACAGGACTCCAGGTGAACATAGGTGAACAAGACGGAGGTTATGAAAATAACCAACCAACCAACAACAACAACAGCGTCAATCACAATCAACGGGAGGGATTTGAAAGAGGTTACTTCATTCACTTATCTAGGGGGGAGGGAGCATTGTCTCAACTACAGGTAGTTGGAACGGACGAGGATGTCAAATCGAGCGAGAATCGCGAAGGCGAGCGAGAAACACATTCACTCACCAACCTGAAACCAATCTGGAAATCTTCGTCACTCAGCCAGAATCAACGACAAAATTCAGTCGGTCGGATTTTCAATACAAACAACGTCAAGCCGGTCAGTTCTTCTATACGGATGAGAAACTTCGCGGGTGGGTCACAAAGAATATTTCCACCAACAGCCTGTTGCAGACGTTACCTTTATCAACCAACAACTGTCTTCGCTGGATGTATACTGAAGATCAGATGGCCGGGGGGCCGGAAAGAATCACCAACAAGAAACTATGGGCACTAATAAACAAAGCAAGAACCAATCCCCAACCAACATTAAATATGCAGGAGAAAGTGGAAATGGATCGGACACTCGCTGATGAGACCGCCACTGGGTGACATCGCGCGCGTGTCAGGCCTTTGCTCGAGTGGAACCAAACCGAAAGGGAAGCAAGCGGCGAGTGGGACGTCAGTGCAAGAGTGGCATGGAGGAGGAGATCGTGTCAGTTGGAGGAATTGAAAGAGTATGGACTAACATGCATGGATGCAGGTGAAAAGTATAGCAGAAGACAGAAGCAAATGGAGACATGCAGTTGAAGCCCTATGTTCCACTAGGAACCCAAGGGAGCAGTAATAATAATACACTGATACAAATAATACTTACCACACTGACGATTATTCACTGTTTTTCGAACAAAATTAGATTAAAATTTGAATATTGGGAGAGATGGTAAGAGAGAGAGGTAATGGTATTTACCACTGTGAGCACTAAGATTTTAAGTAAGGACGATCAGAGGGGTTGATTAAAAGCCACTAAACATCCGTAAGACTCTTCAGAAAGTTAGCTTTTTCATACGGCCCAATTGCGGATATCCACTATCAACCCACACGAACACTTATTTATTAACCAAACCAACATAAAGTTCCCTAGTATTTTGATTATTACTGTAAGTGTTGATGTATCCCATCTTTGGAAATAACTCAGATTTGGCAGTAATTTATTTAGTCACTTGGCAATAAATCACATTGAGTCAAACAATCGGTGAAACTACCACTTCGCCGGGACAGAAAAGGTGAGATGAGTTTCAAACTGCATAATTGTTAATAGCATAAGCTATTGAACAAAATCACTGGGTTAACAATTAGCAAATTAACTGGAGACGTACAATTTACGTCACACCAGTGAAGAATCAAAAGCTGTCCTAAGTAAAGCTAAAGTGAGTTTGAAGCAGCTTAAAATGACTGATGCCATATGAAAAAAAATCAGAAGTTTTAAATAAATACAGACAAGCTGACTGGATTTCAAAGTAGGACTTAGGTCAAAAGTGCAGGAAGCACCCTCGCCCCCCATAAAGTAAACACATTCAGGGAGAAAATTAAATGAAACTAAAACGAATTGGAGAACGGATAAGTGCGTGTAGAAACATGAGGACCTAATAGATCTGGGAGATTATAAATAGTGAACGCATCCACTTCACGAAGAACATTTTCGAGCTATGCTATCAGTAGACTCCAGACATCGGCTTTCAGGATTTCAAATTCAGTGCAATAGTCTATATCCCTCCATGTAGCTCAAGTCAGTCAGCCAACAATCCAATACATCATGAATTGAATCCAAATTCTGCTTTGACCATCCCTACCTCTTTGCCAACACAACCCTATGTCAGCTAACATTGCTCTACGAGGAAGGTAGTGGCTCTGAATGAGTAACACCTGTCATAACTATTTCAGTCAGTGTAGCCCCAACGGACTGATCTCAGACGACACCTCAGAGACACGGATTTAAAAGGCTCGTTTGGCATAAGCCATCTCTAGCTTAATAGACGTGATGTGCGACTATCGACCAAAGGGCGGGTGTACTGCTCAGCAGTTTGCTCCGTTTTCCTTAATGGCTGTGGGACGTGGCCATCGAAAGTGGAAGACACAAAAAGACTGGTTGTATTTCTGTTCATAGATGTCTGCGTTCTTTCTTTCGTGTTAAATGGTATAATAATGTGAGAAATAATGAAGTTAGGTGTCGAGTACTAAGGAAGGAGAGATCAATCGACAAGGTTGTGAAGTTATACTAATTGGTATGGTTACATGCGTTACGCACACCTAGCCATCGTCTTCCTCGAGGGGCGATGTCAGCTGACATAAGATGGATCAGGTTGGGAAAGAGATAGCACGTAGTGGTGGTCAAGTCAAAGTCCATAACAGTTAGTTTAAGCAATGTCTGGAGATGTAGACTTTCTCGTTATGGTCCTTGGGATGGTGAAAACCGATGGCTGGAGATAATTGGTGATATGGTTCACAAAATCGTGTGTGCAGCTGAAGCCAGTTAGTCCGGGTCGTTGCAACTTTACAAATGAGTAGTCAATATGCTTTACAGTGTCAGACAAGTCCCGCAACATCATCCTACATAAACAAAATGAACTATGCATTACCGAAATGCTTTGTCAACATCGTTGCTCACGCCGCAAAAAAACAGAGACTGGAAGTTAGACAACAATTAGTTAGTGCTTCATTTTAAGAATCACCAGTCAGGCTTATAAGTTTAATTATAGCTCCAGGGTAATTCCGGGTTCAACAATGAATTTGACGTTAGTAAAATTCTTGATTCGTACTTCGGATAATTCAAAAAAATCAGTTTGTTTTCGACACACATTATTAACATAAACCAAGCGAGCAAAGAAAGTTCGGAATAAGCGAAGCGTCTATATTAAGTCAGCAAAATAACAGTTGAGTTTATCACTGTGACAGGAAAATCAGGATTTTTAAACTGGCTGGTAACATCAGCAGTCATAAAATTAGTGACTTATGCGGTGGTACATTTCTAAGAAAAAATGTAATCGCAAAGGTATCTGGTGCAGGCATCTGAAGTGGAAAAGGATATATTTGAACATGCAACCCAACAGTTTAATAGTACGTAAGACTGACATAAAGCACGTTTGCGGGAACAAGTCTAAATGTACCTAGTTTGCATCGGCAGATAATCAACCCGTCCTTTGGAAAATTCGCATAAATGAATTGAACACTGCACCTTTCGAAGGGTAACAGATATCAAGAAAATTCACGACTATGGATGATATAGACTAGAATTCATTCTGTGCGATCTCCCATACCTATGAAACCGCCATTTTTCCCGCATTCTCTTCCACGTTTCTGTTCTGCATCTTCTTTCTCTTTCGTCTACCTTGGTCTGCAAAGTTCTATGTTGGAAATCAATTTGAATACACCTTAGTTGGCCTTAGAAACACAAATGAGTGCAACACATTAAATTTAACCTGATAGGCTTATCTATTTTTAGTATAGCACTACAGATTCAGACTTATTGGTTGAGGATAGAAGGTTTGGAGCCTATGGTAACACTTTTCTACTAAATTTCGGTGCTTATCCAAACCCTTTTTGGATGAGTCCGCGGTATATAAAATTGACCGTTCATTTGTAGACTACGAAACGTGTTTGCCGTAAACACATAAAAAAGATTGATACAAAGACTCAACTCCTTTGACACGCATGCATCAGAATTTCTAGTCATGCTGATTGCATCCGCACTACTCTAAGAAAAACTGATTATCTGAGTAAGGATTTATGAAGACTGACAGTATGTAGTACCCAATTAATGAACAAACCTGTGTGACACAAAATATTCAAAACAGCCACATTCACTCAAGAATTAGTATGCATATCAATACACTCAATGTTCAACATCCATTGCAAGGCCTTTGGAGAGATCAAATAGTAGGCTGTAAGTAGCCTAGATTAATCTCTGCAGGTATTGAGATCTCTGTTCAAAGCGTCGATCGAAGGAGCTTGTATCACCAGCTCAGCCTCAAGAGGTCAACCTCACAGAGCAAAAATTTTGAATTCTACTTGTAGCATATTAAATCGTGGCTTAAGTGAATCTTTATGACCTCCACGAGGAGAAAATAAAAAAGTGCTAAATCCAAATTCGGTATATGACACGCTACAAGAGGTTTACCTCCTAAGAAGTGAAAATGGAAAATGACGTCATTAGTTTCCAGCCTATGATCGTTAGGAAATGATAGCATCATTTTACTGTTATGCCGCTTACCCTTTAATATATCTACCTCCCTTCTGAACAGGCGGCTGGTAGCTTCGTACTTTAGTTAAGTGGTTTAGTGTATACTCAATGTATTACCCTATATATATATATATATATATATATATGTTTTACCGCGACCGGGTCAGCTGCCATTTCAAGCTTCATGTTAAGTGCCAAACGTCAAGCAAGGATTTAAAACAGAGGACAAAGCGCACATTAGATCGGCAATCACACAAATGCCGTGTGCTAGTAAGAACGGGAGCTCAAAGTCAAGGATTATATTTACAACCAGTTATAATACAATTAGGTGGGAGGGAAAGGGTATTGCCATCAGCCATCCTTTGTATCGTCTAGGGCGGCCACTTCCTGCACGCTACATAGCCAACTTGAAATTAAACAAGCAGAGTTTAAACATCGGAAGACCGTCTAACTTGCAGTGTATTAGACATGGTGTTCTGAGCGATTCAGTTGACTAAGCTGTAGGAAACCATTTATAATCCATTTTATGTCATGGATACTGCTCGTATAGGATGCCATACCGAGTCCTGATATGGTAACATGGAAGTTATTCGATGTTGATTTCTCGATAGCCAACACCTTGAAGGATAGTATGATATACATTAGTAAGTGGCTTTAAGTTCTGTTCAACTTCAGCCTTACTATGGACCTGTGCAGCTTCCACTACAAGGCAATTGAAAGGGAATAAAGTACTTCTCATGAAAGAAAAAGTATATGGACATGCGCGGAAACTTAATTTCTGTGTACACATTATTATATTCATTGTACATTGCAGTCTAGCAAACCTATATGTTTATTTCTACCTAGCCTTTTTATACATCATGCAATCAGCTAAGTTCCACGTGTAATATCGGTTGATACTTTCCATCCTCAGCTTGTCACATATACGAGTGCTGCTAATAATAAATGGACAGTATCCCAGTAGTGGCCTCACACATGTTTTGTATAGAATGCGTCTAGATTCATTGTCGTGAAAGTTCCTGAGTTTTCATCACAAGAGGATCCTCGACTTTCGAGTCTGTGATGTCACTTGCTCAGAAAATTTTAGGTAACTAGATTACCTCAAGCCTAAGTCAACGACACTTCAGAGTCTGGGGAGGTAGGTAGATTGAAGCGTTAGTTTTATGTCGGGTGTGCTGAAGCAGATCCAACGACATTTGTTCAGATTGAATTGTAGATTCCATAGGGATGACCAAGCAGTCACTCTATTTGATTCTTTCTGCCGACATTCAGGAAGTACCCTAGGTCGTCACATTAGAATATAAAAGCTCCTTTTAGGTCATCTGCAAAGATGAATAGTTTACTGTATGAGAAGCAAGCGCATATGCCGTCGACATAATGTATAAATAGGAGGGTCCCAATGACGCCAAAATGAACTACACCAGATGTGATCGGGCTAGATTTTGATGCCTAAGACCAGAGTTTGACTATTTAGGAGCAGTTGTTAACTAATGATTTAAGACATTCTAATAGTGAATCGCGTGTTCCTAAGGAGTTCAGCTTATGTATTAGCAGTAAATGGTCGAGGCGGTCAAGTGCCCTAGAAATGTCAAAGTAGATGACAATTACTAGCTGTCGCCAGTCATGAGAGCAGATCTGATATGTATCCATATATATATATATATATATATATATATATATGTGTATGGCGGTCTCTCTTTCTGTTGCTCTCTTAGTCTGTGACCATTTCACTTTGATGAACCTGTCTCCTTTAACAATGTATATTCCTCTTATATTATATATAATATGTGTGTTTGTTGACAGTCTGTCCTTGGTGATATATATCCATATAAATTGTGTGTTTGTTGACATGTCTGTAATATTTTGCTATGTATATATGGATCGATACTCCATTATAATTAGCCAATCATGTTAAGACTGTCTATTGATTTGTTCACTCGCTTGTTTGGACATTCATATATATTTTTGCTCGCACAACCTTGTGTGATTTGATTCTCCTTGTGTTTGGGGAATAGAAGTATCATCGCAAACCTAGTGGTCTTCTGATTTCCGCCTTCTTGCGTCAGGACTATTAAATTCTCGACCAGTACATAACAATAATTTGGCGGCGAGTACATAACAAGCTCACAAAACTGAAGAAGTCTAGGTGGCATGTTAAACATGACCTGGATTTTAGGAATCCATGTTGGTTCAAACTTACAATATTGCAGCTAAGCATGTGCTTGAGTATGTTATCTTCAACTAGTCTCTGCATAATTCTAGATTCTGAAGGTGTGATATTGATCAACCTGTTGTTGATGACCACCGTCTTAGAGCCGCTTTTGTGTTTAGTTGTAATAAATGTCGTTTTCCATTTACCCGGGTGAGTTAGAGTTTCTAAGGACATTGGGAAGATTTTAATCAGTAGTATGGGAATTTCAGGACCATCATATTTATACAAATACGATGGTATGCCGTCATTGCCAGAAACTTTCGGGCTTTTGAAAGCTCGAATAATGTGGTTAATCATGGCAAAAAGGAACTCAATGGTACTAATTTGTTTTGGTGTGAGTAAGGATGGAAATTGTGCCATATTAGTGTAGGGTGAATACTGAATAATAGGACTGTAGGCTTAAGGTAGCTGGATGCAAATGTTTTGTTGAGTAATTCACACATATCTGCAGAATCACTGCATAGCCTATCTTTGTCTATGGGGGGAGAAATGCACTGATGTTTGCGGTTCGGTCACCTCCCTAGGATTTCTGTGAGACCATACATCCTAGCAGGGCAGACATTTGTGGTGCACTGTTCGTTCCTCATACGCAATTCTTGAGCTTTTGAGATGAAGCCTAGAACGTTTATTATTAACCCTAGTGTGCCAAAGTCGCGGTGCTTGAAGTAACTTGTCGAGAGTTTCTTCAGTCTCGTACAACCATTTGATTTTTTAAATGACTTTCTATGTGGGTAAACTTTTGATGTTCGGAGTGGGTCGGTAACATCTAAGCATGTGTTTGAGTTCTGGTAGAAGATGCTCAGTGCTCTCGAGGGATCGTCAGTGGTGAAGTGCTCACCTCATTCAGAGAATCTCAACATTGATTCTATGAAAGCCCAATTTGCCCTACTATAGTTCCTGTATGTTATTTGTGAAGTGGAGGTACAAGTATCACTGCTACTCAGTGGGAGTGGGAGTGCAAACAGCACTGATTCGTGGACACCACCTGAAAACTTAGAACACACTAAGATTGAGAGGGGACTTATATCGTGTCTGAATAATAATTTCAGCGCGTTGTCACTTCTTTTAGGGGTAGTGGCAATTTGTTTCCAGACGAAAATGTCCAGTGTACCTAGGAGCTGGTCATATCTGTTAATAATTCCCAGTTGATTTCGAGTAGGTTGAAGGCTCCACATATGACCTCATGCTCGTATGGAAGAGTGAGTACCCAATTCAGTACATCAATGAGTTGATTCTCGTAATCACTGAAGTCGCCAGGTGCTACATCCTATTAGAAGCGTAGCACCTGTGAAGTGTACGTTGACCCACAGAGTTTCGTCCATGAAGTTGAGTTCCCTATTTTCTAGCTGTAATGCAGTGAGTATGTTCGGCAAGTATATAAGTCGGCCTCTTTCCTTAACACTGTTCCTGTCACATCGAAAGTGTGCGTACCCATCTATGTTTATCTCTTCGCCTGGTATACTGAAGTGAATCCGAGATTCAATAATAATTATTGGGGGTTTGTGTCCTGACCATCGGTAGTTTGTTAAGGATCGACCTGGCATTAATAAGAACTAGGTAAAGTGGAGAGTTGAAGTAGTGTTTGGAGTATTTAAACCCGTCAATCAGGCTCAAGTGTGGTTCGGCATTCACTGGCTCTGCGCGGCATGGCAGTCCTGTATAACAATTAGTATCATTACTGTGCCCACGTATGCCTGTCGAGTTACTATCTGCTCCTTTTAGTGAATAATGGGTTTCTTAATAGAATTCACTACAGGATCGGGTAGTTCTAGGCTTGGGTAGGTTGGAGACTTCGGTAGGAGTTCTTATTTGGCCTATGCTTGTACAAGCATTGGATGTCATTAACAATTCCGTGTGCGCTAGACTGTGCCTGTGTTCTTCCAGATAGGGAGATGACATTGGTTGTACGGGTTCAGAAGAGTTAACATCCATACCAGTTGTTTGGTTGTCACCAACGGGGATGTGGTGGATAAAAGATTGTTAGTACCTTGTGATGCCCATAACTTACTTATCTGCCTACTGTCTGGAGACATTCTAAGTGTCCTTACATGGGTTTCATTATATACATTGCTGCATCGAGGTTTAAGTCTCGGTAGACTTGTGTCATATATTCTGTCGCAGTTTTTGTGTCACACTTTGAAGACCCACAGTGGTTGAGGGCTGAGCTCTGAGTGCTGCCGCTTGTTCCATTTTGCACGCTGGTGTTGCTACATCGGCTGTCAGTGTGGGCCTTAGTGTGACTTGGAATGTTATGCGAGTATGTTCTGACGTTATTGTCCGTGGAGAGTATGGCCTTGTATCTGCTATTAATTTTCTTATTAGAATAGGTTTGTATATTATTTACTTACAGCGTAGATTCTTCTCAGGAGTTTGAAAATGTAGAGGCTTTTGTTACGAGTGATATATTTCGGCATGTTTTGTTACCGAATTCCACTTGAAATCTCAAGTTATGGCTAAGAGAGGAAGTTGTCGACTTACAAGAGCACTGATTTCTGTCTTAGGGCTATCCAGTGACATATGAAGATCCATGGTTGAGGGTGGAGGAGTAAGATTATAATTCACTAGTCTCTCGTTTGGTATCGTCTGCTGTGGAGTTATTTTCGTGAGATTTGAAAAGGGAGAAACT